GACTAATTTTTATACCACTCGTGTTGTCAAGAAATATGAGTGTGTGAAGGACTATTCATACAACTTCAAACCAATGTAAAATTGCCATGTGGCACTCCCAATTTGACTTATTTTGAAAAAAAATATAAAAACCCATGTATTAATTTTTTTTAAGCTTTATTAGGAATAGGTTTTAATTTTCAAATCTTTTTTGTCATCTTCCCTACCATCATTAGCTTACCCATATTTCTTGGGCATCTATGTCTTCCTTCAAAAAAAAATTCTTTTGCTCTTTTTCCTTTCTGGTCATTGTTTTTTTTTAAACTAATGTTATTGTGTTCATTCTTATTCTTTTTTTTTAAAAAAAAAAAAACAAATTAGCTTAGTGATTTTATTCCTCCTACAAATTAAGTTTGGGATTTGGGAATAGTGAAACTATGGGAAACTCTATTTGGGAGTAAGAAGTTGGAGAAGAAGGTGATTTAAATGTCAGATTATGATTTGGTGATATTTTGAGTATTTAGATTTTGATTATTTGACGATATTTATTTTCATAAATAAATTAATTTGTGATAGTTTGACAAATAATTGGTAGTGCTACCGAAAAATTCTGTCTCGCCACAGCGGGTTTGGCGACTGTTCATCGCCATGAAAGGAATGGCAGAAGAACAGCGGTTGAGGCGAAGAAGAAAGAGAAAGAAAAGCAATAAAATCAAATAAAAATAATTTAAAATTACTTTTAATATGTGTCAAGTGATTATTATTGCGTGACTTACAAATATTTTTATATAAGTGGTATTGGGTGAAAAATGGGGTATACATATTATTGTGAAGTTGTTCAATAGGGTAATACGACACCGCAAAGTTAAGATATCTTTTTGAAAATTCGAAACAACTTCAGTGGTGACTTTATGTCTTTTCTCAATCATTTATAAATACATCAATTAAGTTTTATCTAGTTTAAGTTAGACCCCCCTCCCCCACCTCAATGATCAATTTCTCTTTCCTTAATAATTTTTTGTCAAATTAGGTTTCACACGGTCGATCAACATGCAACTAAGTTTTACACGACTCACAGATTACTATTATCTTCAAATCAATTTTTGAAATTCACAGTGTGTCACTCACATGATCGAACATTTATGATCATTGATGCCTAGAGTTAGCTTTTCATGTGTATGCATCTTCAAGCTACCTTAAGCATAAAAATATGGATCTAAGAGCCCATTTGAATTGGCTTAAAAAAAGTAATTTTTAAGTTAAATATAAAAATTAAAAAGTCAAAGTGAAATAACTTTTAAGTCAAAAATAAAAAAGTAGGGGGAGACCTACTTTTGGTTTCTGACTTATTTTAAGTCATTTTTTACCTTGTCAAACACTTCCTAACTTGTTTTAAGTCATTTTTTATTTATTATAAGTTATTTTTTATATTTGCCAAACACTTTCAGAAGTCAAAAACTGACTTAAAAATAGGTTGGACCAACTTTTAAACCAATTCAAACAGGCTCTAAGTCTCACGCTAGCTATCACGCATAGTCATCTACGTACTAGTCATGTAAGACCACTGACTCTGATATCAATTTGTTGGGTTTAACTAACCTAAAAATATACCTAACATAATATAATATTGTTTGTTCGATTTGTGTAATTGTGTTAAAGAGACGTTGTTTAATTTTCTCGAAAGGTGTCACTATATTAAGTATATCTCTACCTTTATTTAATTTCTTAATATTTTCAATGAGTAAATGGCTAAAAACATCTCTTAACTATACCTCAAACTCAAACTATATCCTTGTGTCATTATATTGAACAAAAGTTTTTGAAATATATTTTCAAATTTTTATATTTAATTGGCCAAAGTTTTTGAAAAATATTTTATCTAAGAAAACAAGTTATTAAAATATGAAAAAAAATGACTTGTCTAATAGACATAGGAAAAAAAGCTCCACAAATAACATTTTAAATTCATTCACAAATCCTTCTAGCAAAGAAAATGTCTGCTCTATGTTTAAGAAGACGGTGAGGGGACAAAATCTCTTTTCATTAGGAGATGGTCATTAGATTTTTGATAGAAAATTAAGGAGGGATGTAACTTGTAACTTTCAAAATAGTTCAGAAATATTTTTTGTTCACAATAATAATATAAGTAGTTTGAGTTTGAGGTATAATTAAAAGATGTTTTTGGTCATTTACTCTATTTTCAACTATCAATATGCGATTTTATCGGTTAACAATATGAGATGTTTCCTAATTTCTTGATATATGTATATGACAAGAAAAGTATCCTAGACAAAGAAAAAGAGAAAGCAGAATCAATGGCATATTCTATGGAATTTGATTACTAGTCCCTACTTTGGATATGTCATGGAACCCACAAAATTTAAAGTATATACAGTACCATTTGTTTTTCCATGAAAAAAATTATTTCTTACTTTCTTTTTCGATTTATTTTAAAAGGAGTGTATCTTTTGTTATTTAGTAAGTTATTCAATAATAGATTTAAGACCACAAAATTTAAATAATTATACATATTTTTAATTTAAAATTATAAAATTTAAGAAAAAAATTTAAAATTTATGTTTAGTCAAATTAAGACACGTGAATTAGAGAATTTGATTATGATAGGAAAAAAAAGGGGTTAAAGTAGCAAAAATTGTAGGGCAGACAATGATTACTATATAGTTAGATAAACCAACGGTTAGATTCTGCCAGCATCCAAAGGTGTTTTCATCATTAAGAGGGAGACAACTTTATACATTTTTTTTTTTCTTATTCGGTTCAATATTTATATAATTATATCAAAGTTCGATATATTTATACTTAATAGTTAATACGTTCTTTTCTTTAAGAAGGTCCATCATATTTTCGAATAAAGCTAAAGTATGAGCAAGAGTCTCTTTGTGGTGGTTGAGACTTTCACCGTCTTTTTTTTATTGACTTATATATCTTTGAATATGGGTTTTTGCTATTCCATAGTGATTGTCGGAATTTAAATTACGAATTATAAGGTTTAATTTTTTAAGGTGACGTTCTTAACAAGATGTTAACAGTGTAAGGAGTCCCATCAAATCATCCCACGATAATTAGGTATTAGTCTCTATTCGAAAAGTTACACCTATATATTGATCAATTGTCTTCTATAAATCAAACAAAAAAAGAGAGAAGAAAATAAAGAAAGGTTTTATGCTTGTGATATTATATCTATGAGAGAAGGCCCAAAATAGTCCATCATCTTTAGGTTAAGACTCAAAGTTATTCTTGAGATTTCATATGGAGCATTAATAGTCCCTCATGTTTGCAATATTGGTGCACTTTTGGTCCTCCTCTAAATTTTTACCTATTTTTTAACATTAATTTTGGGGATAATGGTATGAAAAATACCCCAACTTTGGTCGGATTTGCTGTTGCGATACTAAACTTTCATGAGGACCTATTACCTCCCTAGACTATTTAAAACATATATAATTGCACACGTAGACATAAAAAATAATGCAAAATTATAAATAGTAATGTGTCCACGTGGGCACATATATACCTTAAAAATACACTATTAAATAGTTCAGGGGGTAAAAAATACAGTATTAAATAGTCTAGGGAAGTAATAGGTCCTTATGAGAGTTTAATATCGCAATAGCAATTCCGACCAAATTGGGGTATTTTTCAAACTCTTATCCCTTAATTTTGTTCATAATTTTATGTAAGGAATGTCCCATCATCTTTTTTTTTATATTTAGTAGAAATAATAACTCTATGTGAGAGAATATGAGAAGAAGAACACATAGTTCTGTTCCGTATAAATATTACTGCAGGTAAACTAAGAACATTTTAACATATGACATTGCAAGAAAAGAAAAATTTGTACTATTGCACGTGAAATCATCGTGACGAACCTCTCGACTTTATCTGCAATACGATTTCTACTAAACAAAACAAGGTGTTTTTCTTCTCACAATCTCTCACATGGAATTATTATTTCTACTAAATATATAAAATGACAATTAAATATTTCATACAAAATCAATGTTAAAAAATAGGCAAAATTTTGAAGGAGGACCAAAAATGCACCAATATTACAAACATGAGGGACTATTAATGCTCCATGTGAAAACTCAAGGATGACTTTGAGTCTTAACCCAAAGATGAAGGACTATTTTGGGTCTTTTCTCTTATTTCTCTTATAATTGAGAAATTCTCGAAGGTAAATGAGGCATGGTTCAAAATTTTGGGGATAATAATCTTTAATTTCATCTTAATTCTTTTTTATTTAAATAAGGCATGATTAAAAAATATATATCATATGTTACGCTTTTATTACTAGATCAATATTTGAGGCTTACGAATGTGATATCTTTTACTATTTATGTAAGGGTTCATGGTACAAAACTAGATTGAAAATGGAAATGAATAATATTTTTTGCTCTTTCAAATTCAAAAAATAATAATATGACAATTAATATAGGAGGAAAGAAATTTATAGTCAATAACTGCTGCCTCTCTGGTTAGAACATAGAACATGTCTTGACCCCACCCCACCCACCACAAAAAAACAAATAAAATTAAAAAGTTAGAACAAAAAAAAAAAAGTAAAATCTATTTGAATAAGTTATACACTACTTGTATCGATAAAAAATAACAAATATTTAATAAAATAATCGAAACATAAATAAATTGTTCAACAAAATACCATCATAAATACAAAAAAAATAAAAATAGAAAGCCTCATATTTACTAGAAGAAAAAATTGTTTTTTTTTCAATTCACATTGAGAGAATAAAATAAAAATTACTACCTAGTAAGAACTTAGCTCCTGACCACCCCTGCCACCATTCCAATACTAATACTAATACTAATAATAATAATTTCATCGTTCATTTCATATCATTATATCATCATTCTAAAACAATAAAAATAAAATTTGTTAATAAAATAAATGCATTTTACTTGATTTGAACATCGCCGTTATAAGCAAAAAAAAGGAAAAATAAAAAAGAGAACCCTTACTATACTTCTATTTTCTCTCTTTACTTCTTTCCTTCTTCTTCTGTTGTTGTTGTCGTCGTCGTCTTAACTTCTTCTTTAGCTGGCGGTGGTGGTGATGGTGATGGTTGTGAAGTATTAGGGATACCACCATCAATACAACTTCTACATTTTCTTTCAACCCATCCTTCAATATCATCTTCACCATTACCACTAAAATGTCTACCACCACAAAGCCTAGCAATAATACTAGCAATAACACCAAGTAGTGTTATTACTGCTAGTACAACTAGTAATGTCTCTATAGATTTATGTGTATTACTACTTGAAGAAGATGATGAATAGTAATTAGTGTTTTGTTGATCCACTACTAGTGGTGGTAACTCTTTCTCATTCTCCATTTTTTTTTTTTTTTGTGTGTAGGGTGGGGTGGGGGTGTTCAAGTTCTTGAAAGTGTAGAAAAAGATGGTGGAAATATTGAGTTTGATGAAGAGGAGTGTTGGGTAGTAGTTAGAGAGTTTTAAGTGTTGAAAGTGGGGTTTTGAAGTATGTGTTTGGTGATGAGAGAAAGTGAAAATTTTGTGGGTGAAAGAAAGTGTAGTTGAGGTTTGAGTTGGAAAAAGAAATATATAATGACTTATATATATATATATATATACACATTGTGTTAAAAGAATATATATTATTAATTATTAGAATATTAGGCTAATAAGAGGGGAGATAAGGGGCTAGTCTCCTCCTTTCTTATTGTTACGTGTTGCTTCACTGGTTATGTTATCTTGTCAATTGTTGTCGTTATTTTTTTTTCTAGCACGTTTTGATAATGTATCATTGTGTCAAGTATATATTGAAAATAAATAGTTTTTTTTCACACAAATAGGAGTAAGGTCTGTGTTTATTCTATTCTTTGCAATTTCTTTACTTATAAAATTCATACTAAATATATTATTATTATTATTTTTTATTTTTATTTGGAACCCCAGGATAACCCACAGTCGCTACAATCTCTGCCACAGTTTCTGCCCTTCAGGTGAGCACTGGATAAACCCCTCATTGTGTAATAGTCTACAAACCACACAAGGGATGTAAATCGCACTGGGCAAGCCTTATGCGACAGGCTCGACTCAGAAGACATTGAGAGGTGATTGATCCCGGGTCATCTGTGTGGATAGCCACCCTCCAAACCAATTGAGTCATCCCAATTATTATTATTATTATTATTATTATTAATAATAATAATAATAATATTTTAACATATACAAAGGCCCCTATATGGGGCAAAACAATAATGTAAAGGGGAACTTGTTGTGTATGTGTTGTCAAAAGCTGATTAAAGATCAGAAATTAGGATTCATCTTTGAAATATGTTGCCCTCTAAAGTATAATGGGCCCCACAATCTCTAAAAGAATATTTTTTATTTTATTTTATTTTGTCTTTTTTGATTGTTATGTTGTCTTTTTTGATTGTTATGATTAGTATATTATCTTTTGTTACCCTCAAAAAGTACAAAGTTATAATATAATGTGTAATGTGTATAATGGAGTAAATATATAGTTCTGCTTAATCTCAAAAACATGAATTGGATTCTTTTTTAAAAGGGAAAAGGGTCTGATATACCCCTTAATTTTGCTATTTGAAGTTAATATGCTTCTCGTTATGAAATTGGTTCATATATATCCTTACCGTTATACAAACGGCTCACATATATCCTTACCGTTATAAAATGAGCTCACATATACCCTTTATTTAATGGAAGTAAAAAAATTAATTTTAAACTTATATTTTTTTAAAATCATTTAAGGGTATACAGGATTCTTCTAGCAAAGTTTAAGGTATATTTCAATTTTTTTCATACATAAATTATTTTTTGACTTCTTTGATTTTCATTATTTTAGTTTTTATTCTTTTTTTTTCTTTCATTCCTTAGTGTAAAGAAAAAAATTTAAAACTATTTTTTTGTGGCTATTTTATAATTTAAAACAATTTTTTTTTGTCTATATTGTAATTTAATTTTTGTATTTGAAGAAAAAAAATTGGTCATCTATAATAAGTTTTACAAGAATATTAGTGAAACAAAAATAAATTTGACCATCAAAATAATAAATCTAAATTAGTCATTGAAACAAAAAAAAAAGTCAAAAAAATATGTTTGAGGAAGATTAAATATACCCATATGGGATTATAGTTTTTTTTTTAAAATAATAATAATAAAAAATTAAACTAAATTTTTTTTTTTCATTTCCGTTAGAGGGAAAGGATATATGTGAGCCATTTGTATATAAATAGGGGTATATATGAGCCATTTTCATAACGAGGGGTATATCAGCTCTAAATAACAAAGTTGAGGGGTATATCAGATCCTTTACCCTTTTTAAAATTTAAGCACATAATTTGAGTTGATACTTGATAACACTTTTAGTTCCCTGATTTTGTGAAATTTTATTAAGCATGTTTAATTTTTAATTGATATATATATATATATATATATATATATATATTTGTGAACTTAAATTAATCAGTGTTATTGAAATTTGTATTTACCATAATAATATATATTTTTTCTATATGTGGTTACTCCCAAAAAGTTCTTTTTCTTGGGGGAGTGGGGTGGGGGGTGTTGGTAGAATTTTTGTCTTCATAATCATTGGTGTCACATGTTTGTCTTTAATTATGAAGTGAGACCCCCAAGACTTTGTTTGAATATATAGTTTCACTCTTATCTATTTTATTTGTTTAATTTATGTGACAGAGATAAAATTAAGAGAGTTAATTAAATTTTAAAATATTTTTTATTATTAATTATTTTTAAAATATCCTTAATGCACTTCTCAAATAATATTTATTTCACATGTGATATTTTGAGAGCAAATTAATTTTTAATATATTTTTTAAAAGCATTTAAGTTATTAATTATTGTGATTGATGTGACACATGTGAAATTTTGAGAGTTAATCAATTTTTAAGTATATTTATAAAAATATTTTGAGTTGTTAATTATTGTAATTTATGGTACTCTTATTATCGTAAATTTTAAATAATATATGTTATCCCATATGTCTCAATTTATGTGGCATTGGTGAAATCCGTAAGTTAATCAGATTTTCAATGTATATTTTAAAATGTTTTAAGTTGTTAATTATTGTGATTTATAGTACTTTTAACTTGATATTCAAATAATATATGTTACTCCCTCAATCCCAATTTATGTGGCATATGTGAAAATTTGATAGTTAAACAATTTTTTTATGTGTTTCTAAATATTTTAAGTTGTTGATTATTGTGATTTACAATACTGTTTTTTCATAATTTTTCAATACATAACATACTAATAAGGAAAGTATGACAAAAAATTAAACTGGAGAAAACCTTAAACATAAATAGAAAGGCAAATCGATCAATTACCCGACTGATCCTAAGCTCCAAATTTTTAATATGTATTTTAAAATATTTTGAGTTATTGATTATTTTAATTTATAGTACTATTCTTTCGTAATTTTTAAATACATAATATTTTAAAAAGGAAAATAAACGAAGAAATACTAAATATTGTAAATATACTAAAAAGGAAAATAAATAAATAAATAATAATATTATTTTTTCATAACTCTTGAATACTTAATATACTAAAAAAGGAAAATAAATGAAGAAATACTAAATATAAAATAGAGGAAATTTGAGGAAGAAGACAAATCAGTCAATTGACCAGCTGACCCTAAGCTCCTCAATCATCGCACTTCTAATATATAGAAATATATAAATAATATAAGATAATTTGGACACAATAATTCCACATATTTCACAAGTACTGTTAATGATCAAACGATAAAAATATGAATAAACTAAAAATATAACTGATGATAAAATTTAGCAAGTAAAACATATTCCTAATAAGAAATAAGACAAAAAAATATATTTTCTTTTTGTTGAAAATTTCTCATTTCATTCTTTAGTAATTTTGCAAGTATTTTTTTTTTTTTTAGAAATTACCATATGTCTTTCTCAGCCCAGTTGGCAATTTTGACAACTAGTAAGTAATAAATTTGATGTGATGTAACATTATTTTCACATGAACCAATAATACTTACTATTTTTATTTAACACTATAAGTTATACATATAGTGACATTTTCATAAAGTTCTCTGCAGTATTTACTGAATTTCTATATTTACATTTGTCTTTGAACAGATTGCTTGAAAAGATTATACACACAAAAAGTACTAAAAATGTTCTGAACAAATAATATGTCCTTTGTTGTTGTTGTTTTTTCTTAAAAAAATTATAATTTATAATCCTAATTCTTAGGTGGTGAAAGTCAAAAAAATGTTTTACTTTCTTGATGATTTCATATTGATATCTTATTTTCTTTCTCTCACATCGTCAATCTCAAGCTCGGATAAAGGAGAGAAGTTGGTGAGGATTAATTGATAATAATTTCTCTATCCCATAAAGATAAGAGTAAAGACGTATATATTTTATCTTCTTCAGACCTCAATAGGATTATATTAAAATTTTTCTCTTTGCTAGATTAGTGGTATATTGGAATAATTCTAATTTATTCGCTCGAATAATTACTTTTAAGACTGCTATTTATAATATAATAATTGAAATATATAAAATATTTGAAATTTAGTTATTTCAGACTAAAACTTCAAATTGAGGTCTAAATTTCAAATCTCGAATTTGAAAGAATCTGTAGTTTTTACTTTTACCATGTATACAGGGGCGTATACAAGAGGGGGTCACCGGTTCACGTGAACCCATGATCCCCTCCCGAAATCATATATAGTAGTGTTATATTTTTAAAAAATATTTAAATATAGATGCGTGAACCCAAACTCGAAGTATCATATAATGTAGTACGATGATGATTGGGTGCACCTCTCTAGGTGAGGTTAGAAATTTGAATCTTTTATCTATCTTGTTTTAGTTTTCTTTCTAAGATTTTGTAACTGGTTTGGATAAATAAAAGTTAATTTTGGACCTATGATTTTAAAATTTTAATGGTTTTCAGTAAAAAGAATCTAACCGATCAAATTTATGTCTTAGATCCATCTTTTTATAATAGTGCACCCATTATCTATAAATCCTGAATACGCCTCTGCATCTATACGTATTAAGAAGTTCATTAAATGTTTATAAAAAAATTGATGATAAGCTCAATTATTATTTTATATATTTTAAACTTTTGTATTATTATTAGTGTTTGTTATTGTTGTTGTTGTTGTTGTTATTATTATTATTATTAATTCAAGAAAGATTTTTTGAGTTCATTGTTCTATGATTGAGAACTCAAGGAAAGAGTCATGACGTGTTCTACCACTGAAAGTCAAAGAGACGACATCATGGATTCATGGTTCTACAACTCACTAGAGCCTGAAACTCTGTTAGACTGTGGTGGAGTTTCACATGTAA